GGCTTGCAGTCGGCAGGTGTAACCCGGCAGCCAAGGAGAGTGGGCTAGAGTGCACATGCGTAAACAATGACGACTTCGCTGCACTAGTCAGTGGGGGCAGTAGACACCACTGAGTGAGCATGTGCACTGTGTGGCCATCACATCCAAAAATATTTTGTGTTAAGCTTGAACATTGCTCCACAGGAACTATTAGGATTATTCCGAAGGCCACAGCTACGGGCAACTGGTGATTGGCAGCTTCCTCATGACAATGTGCCTGCTCATGCATCACATCTCATACAGAGAATTTTTGAGAAACATCAAGTCACCCATGTAACTCAGCTCCCCTGCAGCCCAGATTTGGCCCCCTACGACTTCTGGGTTTTCCCAAAACTGAAATCACCTTTGGAAGGGAAGAGATTTCAAACTATTGATGAGATTCAGGAAAATACGACGGGGCAGCTGATGGCGACTGGGAGAACTGTGTGAGGTCCCAAGGTGCCTACTCTGAAGGGGACTGAGGTGTCATTGTCCTAGGTACAGTGTTTCTTGTATCTTGTATCTTCTTCGATACGTGTCTCTATTTTTCATGGCACACGGCTGGATCCCTTCTGGGTAGACCTCAGATGTAGTGTTGGTGCTTGTTCCTGCATTATTTTTTTACTGTCCTGTATTTTTTATTTTAAAATTGAATTTATTAGGTGATATTGGTTCACAAAACCATACAGGTATCAACCGTACAACTTAACAAAGCACCACCTGCATGCTGCTTTGCGTGCCCAGTGCCAAGAGCGCGGCTCTTCCCGTCCCTGTTTGTCCCCCTTTGCCCACCTCCACCTACCCCAGCTCCTCTTTCTACCTGCCTGTCACCACACTGATTCCGTGTCTATGTGTATACACAGTGCATATTATATGTAATAGAGTGTGTGTATAAAATGTACAGATATATGTTCTTCTGCTTAGTCCCTTCACCTTATTTCATCTGGATTCCCATCTACCTCCCCTCTGACAGCCATCAGCCTGTTCCGTGTGTCCATTCCTCTGTTTCTATTTTTTCATCAGTTTATTTTGTTCATTAGATTCCACATATAAGTGAGATCATATGGTATTTGTCTTTCTCCGACTGGCTTATTTCACTTAACACAGTAATCTCCAGGTCCATCCATGCTGTTGGAAAAGGTAAGATTTCCTCCTTTTTTTAATGACTGAATAGTATTTCATTGTGTAAGTACACCACAGATTTTTTACACGCTCATCTACTGATGGGCCCTTGGGCGGTTTCCGGATCTCAGCTCTTGTAAATAACGCCGCAGTGAACAGAGGGTGCACCCAGTCTTTTGAATTTAGTGTTTTTGGTTTCTTTGGTTATATTCCCAGAAATGGGCTTGCTGGATTAGAAGTCAGTTCTATTTTTGATGTTTTGAGGTAAATCTATATGGTTTTCCACAGTGGCTGCACCAGTCTGCACTGCCACCAACAGTGCACGAGAGTTTCTTTTGCTCCACAACCTCTCCAACAATTGTTGTTTGTTGATTTATTGGGGGTAGCCATTCTGACAGGTGTGAGGCGACATCTCAGTGTGGTTTTAATTCACATTTTTCTGATGACGAGTAATGTTCATTTTTTCATATGTCTATTGGCCATTTCTATGTCATCTTTGGAGAAGTGTCTATTCAGGTCCTTTGTCCATTTTCTAATTGGATTGTTTGGTTTTAGGTACTGAGTTATATAAGTTCTTTCTAAATATTGGATATTAATTCCTTAGCAGATGTATCATTGGCAAATATGTTATTCCATTCAGCGAGTCGTGTTTTCATTTTCTGGATGATCTCCTTTGCTGTGCAAAAGCTTTTTAGTTTGATGTAGTCCCATTTGTTTATTTTTTTCCCTTTGTTTTCCTGGCTGGAGGAGATATATCAGCAAAAATATTGCTATGAGAGATGTCCGAAATTTTACTGCCCATCTTCTTCTAGGATATTTATGGTTTCCTGACTTACATTTAGTTCTTTAACCCATTGAATTTATTCCTGTGTGTGGTGTGAGTTGGTGGGAATCTAGTTTCCGGCTGCACCTTTTGCTCACACTGTGTCTAGGTCCCAAGCCCACGAGATTGAAGCTAAAGATCTAAAATGCCACTCTGACTTAAATTCTGATTCGTTTGGGTAAATCTGAACTTCTAGATTGTCACCACCACAGCGGACTAGTGAGGTCCGGCCAAGGCAGGTTCTCCAAACGGCTGTAAAAGTGGAAAGCATTTGATAACCATCCGCTGCTGTCCTTGGTCACCATCTTTAAACTGCACATTGAACTCCAAACACAGAAACTGTGTGTTTCCTGATCCTGTTGTCTACATCCCAGCCCCCAGCCTGGCGTCACCTGGGCACAGATGACTCCGTGTCGGATGACTGTGATGTGTATTTTTGAAAATATCTTATTTCTTGTTTCCTAGATTGGGCAGGGTTTCTTTCGTTGCAGTTGGGCAGCTGGGATGACAAAGCATCCGGAGCCCTTCAGGAGAGAGAGGTGACCAGGAAGCCCATGTTGCTGCTCAGTTAACACCATCAGCTTCTTGTAACTGGCTGCTTAGATCCGCCTGCTGCCTCCCTGCTCCGTCCTGTGTCTTCAGGTGCTGCCCAGCTCCCCAGTGGCCTTGCCCTGCCCTCAGCTGAACTGCAGTCCAAGAGGCTGCCTTCTGTGAGTGACAAGGTGGCCCTCCCAGGTGGCTGGTGCCTGAATTTTCGGCTTGCCAAATGCTTTGAGATACAAAGCTAAAAATACTCGTGTGTGGGTATGTGATTATTTTTTGCAATTCTGAGCAGCAAGGAAAGTGACGATGGCATGTATGCTGCTGATAGGGCTGCAGGTTTATCATCCACTAAACGGCACTCGTTAACCTTTACTTCTGCGGGGCTGAGGGTCTCCTGACACGGAGCGCCAGCCCCTACGCTTCCTCTCCACTTTCCAGCCTCCTACGGTCCTCGCCCTTTACCGGCCAGCCGCCGAGGCGTCGTGCTGGGTTTCTGGGCTCGAGCCGGGCTTGCTGTAGTCGAGGAGGGAGGGCTGAACATGCGAGCCTTCTCAAAGAGCAGGGAGACGGGCCTTGAAAGGAATATTGTCCACCGCCAGGGAGGAGCTTCTGCTGCAAAACCTTCCCGAGACTCCTTCCCTTGACGCCTTGCGGTGGAGAGGGACTCGCCCGCCCTGGCGGGGGTCTGGGCTGTACCGCTGGGAGTCTGCGGGCAGCGCCACCTTCCTGTGTGGCCCACGTCTCCGGTCACAGCGCGGATGTAGAGTGGACTGTGCGGCTTAGCTCCACACAGGAAAAGGGCCGTGCCCCAGGGGCACTTCGTGACTCCCAGGACGTCCCAGCGCTCCTGTCACTGTGTTCTCAGGGTTTGGCCAAGGAGACCTGAAAACAAGGTTGGGTCAGGGCAGGTTTGCGGACTGAGGCGGGCTGAGGCAGTCAGTGAAGCAGTGGTTCCCAGACGGGTGTCCTGGGGACAAAGGGGTGGGCAAGAGACAGGGATGCCCTCGGCTGGCACCCTCACAAGCCTTCATCCCAGGAGAGAGTCCCTGTCCTTGCCAGTCCCAGACCTGACCACATCTCGGACCTGAAACCTACTTATTGAAAGAAAAGCTGTGCCCTACAGATGAAGGACCCGGTAACAGTGTGACCAACACGCATGGGATGTCCACCGCATGGGGAAGAGCTGGGGAAGCTACACCAACCGTTTTAGGAAATGACTATTGCACAGAGTCCCAGTCAACATTTGTTGCGCACCAAATGTTTGTGTCTCGCCAAGATTCCTCCCACGAAGCTCTGACCCCTGGTGGGAGGTGTTTGGAGCCAGGACACGGGCTCTCACCAGAACCCAGCCCTGCCGGCACCCTGAGCTTGGACTTCCAGCCTCCAGACCCGGGCAACCGCACTCCCATTGTGTGAGCCCCAGTCTTACTTTGTGTCACTTCATTACGGTGGCCTGAGCAGAGGACCACAACGTTGATATTTGGAGACCTCAAGCACCTTCATGGCCCCCTGTTAGAGTGAGGGGTTGTGGGAGTCAGGCATAACATTGTGCTCATTTGTAAGAACTTTTTAATTATGGATATGAACTTCAGGTTACCACACATAACAGTGAGCGTTTCCTAGTTTGCTGTTTGTGTCAATTTTTAAAAGTTTTATTTGTCTTTGCCATCCAGGACTGTTCAATTCTTGCTGTCTAATTATGACTCTTCCCCCTCTTTCTGCTTTTTGCACCAGGATTACAGAGGCTTTTATACTTGGAGATGATCAAAATATCTATCTGTATTTTTCTTCCATAGTTTAATTTTAGAACTTATTCGACCCCTTGTAGGGTTTTTAGTGCGGGGATTTTATTTATTTATTTGTTTGTTTATATTATTGTTTCACCTGGGAGCTTTATTTTTTTTCACAAATGGATAGTCAGTTGTCACAACAATGCTAATGGAAAAAAAAATCCACAAAGCATATCTTGAAAAAGAGGTTGTCCAGCCGCTTTGGAAAGCAGCCTGGCTGCTTGACGGCAGTAGCGTTCATGGAAACCAAAATGTGGAAGCAGCCCAGTGCCCGTCAGCAGATGTGGGGCGGGGGCGGGTGTGAACAGAATTTGGCCCATCCGTACTGGGGAATCGTATTTGGCCAAAAAGGAACAAAGTTCTGATTCGCGCTCAGCATGATGGTCTGTGACAACACTGTGCTCAGTGGCAGAAGCTGGTCATAGAGTCCAGGCGTCACCTGATGCTATGCCTGTGAGAGTCCAGAGCCTGGCTGCCTGTGGAGACAGAACTCGGAGCAGTGTTTTCTGGGGGCCGGGGGGTGCAGAGGGGCAGGGGGGCAGCTGAAATGCGCGGCCCTCCATTCCTAGGTGACGGGAACGTTCTAATGTCCAACAACTCTGTGAATAAACTAAAAACCATCGAATCATACACTTAAAAATTGTTTCTGATCCTCCCCTGAGGATATATTTATTGATTTGAGAGAGAGAGAGACATTGATGTGAGAGAGAAACATTAATCGGTTGCTTCCTGTCACACTTCAACCAGGGGTCGAAACTGCAACCTAGGTAGGTGCCCTGAGTGGGGATTGAACCCTCAACCTTGAGGCGTATGGGACGATGTGCCAACCAGCTAAGCCACCTAGCTAGGGCTGAACTATACGCTTTAAGTGGGTAGGTTTTAAGATATGTGAATACTATATCAATAAAACTGGCTTGAAAAAATAAAGGCAGGAAAACTAGGTACAGAGACTGTACAAGTAAAAACTAGGCTTTCTGCTGAAAATCCGGGCAAAGCTCCGACCTTCTGTGCAGCAGGAGGCCGTGGTCACTAGACTCGGTCCAGCAGGGGGAGCTGTGTGCAGAAGGGCGGTCTCACTGCCAGGTAAGTGCTCAGTCATTGGCATCCCACTGACACATTGCAACAGGCATCCCTGTCCGGGATCTTCCAGCAAATTCATGGAGTCAAAGCAAACCATCAAGTGTCTGCTTCCCCAGCAAGGACGCCTCCCCAGGGCAGGCTGAGCGGCTTCCTGCCTGCGGTGGCTGGTGCTGGTGGTCAGGCCAAGGGCTTTCCCGGGCATCGTGTGTCCCCTCTGCTTCTGTCACTTCAAGGGCGTCGGAGGTTATTTCACAGGTGTCATTTTCTTGGGAGACAGGATGACAGTAAAGGAGACAGATTTTTCCTTAGTAACAGTATTGGCTTGGCCACCAAAAGGCTATAGATTTGTGGGAAAATCAATGTAACTAAATGTGGAAAAGCTAGATTTTCCTCATCTGCAAATCCAGAGAGCTGGACTGGATGGGACACTACCCCGTGAATGGGGACCGTCCTTTTCACCTGACTCTGGTGTGCGGGCAGAAACCCTGAGCGTGAAGTGAAATGCGCTGGTTTAAACAGCCTCCTTCACACAGAAGTCACAGCCACCTGTCTTCTCTGGTCCTTCCCTGAGTCCTCTCTGCTCTGTCATCCAGTCCTGGGCTCCGTAGTGCCTCCTGTGTGCTTCAGTGACACCCCTGTGGCTCTGCAGCCAGATCCTGTGTCCATGCAATTCAGTAACTAGTTACTGAGCACCTACTATGGGCGCCCCTGGCCCCGGGGCTGCCGCCACGAGTGAGATACAAGCCTTCAAAGATCTTTCATTCCAGAATGTGAAGCTCACACACAGCGCACTTGGCAACAATCATGAGCACAGTGACAAAAACAAAACAGAGCAGAGAGTCCTGGGTTTACAGGACCCTTTTTAAAGGGGTCTCAGACGTCTTTTGAGGCAGTTAATCCAGTCTCCACTCAAGATAGTACAAGTAATGGGGTCTGCATAGGAACAGAGGCCAAAGGACCCTCAGAGAGGAGTTGGAGATAAGGGGGTGTTTCAAACCAGTCTGCAGCTTCCCCAGACTGATGGGGTGGGTGGGGTGGGAAGCAGTGCACAGGGGCGGGGGTGTGTGAGCAGGCCAGGCAGGCTTGGGAGACAGAACGGGCAGTGAGGCTGGTGGCCCGGTGAGCCAGTGTGAGGGGCCACATGGCCCCTGCCGCAGGGTCCCCGGCCATGGTTCTGTCTTGTTCAGGGCACCAGATGCGGGCTCTGGGCAGGTCGGGTGCGGCCAGGAGCAGGCTGGTAGGGCTGCACCGTATCCTTGAGGGGCTCTGATGGGTGTGTTTGGGGTGCAGGGGTGAGGGGCACTCACTGTTCATCACACCTGGTGATAAGGTCTTCGCCAGCCCGAGCTTTGGGGTGGAGCACTGCGCGAAGTCCGACGTCAGCGCCTGTGACCCTGTGTCCTCACCTCCCAGGGCCGTCTCTGGCCAAGCCGCTCATGCCAGTTAGGCGACCTCGTGCCTGGCAGCCTGGAACGGAGACCAAAGGCGCCTGCCTATCTCGGGGATGTCACCCTGCTTCGCGTTGTTTGTCACCCCCTCCTGATGACAGGACCGCGCGCATGGGCTTTGGCAAAGCTGACGACAACGAGGGAACAGCTCCTTTCACTGGGCCCTGAGGCAGCACCTCTGCGGGTGGCCCCTGTCCCCTCCCGGGCTGTGGCCTTTGTGACAGTGTGTCCTCGTTTCCCAGGAGCCTGAGGTGACTGACGTGCAGGTCACTCAGGACACCGAGCTCCTGGAGAAGGCGCACGGGGTCGGAGCGTGCTGTTTGCTGTGACCCTGGGGCAGCACTTCACCGCAGAGCCCCCTGGAAGGGCCCGGCATTCCCCAAAGTCACTGCCAGGGACAGGGAGGGCACAGGAGCCCCGGAATGAACAGCCCCGAAAAGCACCCTGAGCACAGCACCAGGGGCGAGCCCTGAGGCAGACCGTGTGGATGGCGACGTGTCGGGGTGGTTCCCTGACGTCACAAATGTCCCTTCTGGTGGGGACGCTGAACGCGGGCAGGCTGTGCGGGGGGGGGGGGGCGCGGGTGATCTCTGTGTCTCCCCTCAGTTTTGTTGAGAACCCAAAACTGCTCTAATAATGATCTTTGAAAACAGCACTATAAATTCAGCACTAAATTCCTGAAGTAGGATTTTAAAAATGGGTTTAAATGAAAGGCCACCTGACCCAGTCCATGCCTAGAAAATTTGACTGGTGGAAAATAACTTATTTTTTTTAGGAAATTTTGTTTATTTTTAGAGAGAGAAGAAGGCAGGGAGAAAGAGAAGAAGAGAAATATCAGTTCGAGAGATACATTGATCAGGTGCCTCTCGCACACCCCCAGTTGGGAACCTGGCCAGCAACGCAGGCATGTGCCCTGACTCGGAATTGAACCGGCGACCCTTTGCTTTGCAGGCTGGTGCTCCATCCACTGAGCCCCACCAGCCAGGGCTGGATAAGAGCTTTTGTTTTTTCGAATAATTTTTCAATTACAATGCACATACAATATTATTCAAGGGTGGGCAAAAATAGGTTTACAGTTATGAATAGGTGAAAGTTTATTCTCACATTATTAACTATTAATTATTGTATTATTTTCCATACCAAGAACCGAAAACCTACTTTTGCCCACCCCTTTGTTTTGGGTGTGCCCCCCCTGATTAGATGTGGTGCACTTACAGAGGGACCACCCCGATGAAGTCTCGCACCCACCTGGCACCAGACAGAGTGATTACGACATTATTGATTATATCCTCTAGGCTGTGCTTGACACCTCTGTGACTATTTGTAACCGCATTTCTAGTACTAAATCCCTTCGCCTTTTGCACTCAGCTCCCCAAACCCCACCTCTCATCTGGAAACCCTGAATTTGTCCTCTGATTCTATGAGTCTGTTGCTATTCTGCTTGCTTGTTTATTATTACTATGTTTTTAGGTTCCACACGTGAGTGGAGTCGTCCGGCCGTTGTCTTTCTCTGTCTGACTTACTGAACTCAGCACAGGCCCTCCAGGCCCGCCCGTGCTGTGCGGACAGCCAGACTTCACTCCTTTCTACGGCCGAGTCACTTCCCGTTGTGTACTCGCACCACTTCTTCCTGCCTGTTCCTCAGTCAGTGGGCACTTTGGTGCTTCCCTGTCTTGGCTACTGGAAGCAACGCTGCAGTGAACGTACAGGTGCAGTTTTTCAAGTGCGTTTTACGTTTCTTGGAATAAACACCCAGAGATGGAACTGCTGGGTCCTTCCTTGTCTCTTGTTACAGCCTTATTTTTCTGATATAAATACTCCTACCCCAGCTTTTTTTGTTGTTTCCATATTCATGAAATATCTTTTTCCTTCTCTTTACTTTCACTCTCTGTGTGTCTTTTGATCTGGACTGAGTCTTTTTTTATTGAATTTATCAGGGTGACACTGGGTAACAAAATTATACAGGTTTCAGGTGCACAATTCTACAACACAACATCGGTACATGGTATGGTGTGTTCACTGCCCCAGGTCAAGTCTCTGTCCATCAGCATTTATCCTCCCTTATACCCTCCTCCCCTGTCCCTCACTCCCCACCTTGGCAATCACCATGCTGTTATCTGTGTCCATGAACTTTTTTTGGTGGTCAGTCCCTCCCCCACCCCTGACAGCCGTTGCCTGCTCTCTGTCTGTAAGTGTGTCTCTATTTTGCTTGTTAGTTCATCATGTTTATTAGGTTCTACATAGAAGTGAGAAATGAGGCATCTTATTGCTGGCTTATTTCTCTGCTGGCTTATTTCACTTCGCATAATGTGTTCCAGGTCCATCCATGCTGTTGCAAAGGGTAAAGTTTAGTGCTTTTTATGGTGAGTAGTGTTCCATTGTGCAGATACCCCATAGTTGTTTCGGTCGTTCATATACTGATGGACACGCCGGTTGTTTCCAAATCTTGGCTGTTGTAAATAACACCGCAGTGAACATGGGGGTGCTTCTAGTCTTTCAAATTAGTATTTCTTCAGATAAATTCCCAGAAGTGAAATTGCCGGGTCATAAGGCAGATCCACTTTTAACTTTTTGAGGTAACTCCACACTGCTTCCTGCAGTGGCTGCCCCAGTCTGCATTCCCACCAACAGTGCACAAGGGTGCCCTTTCTCTACTTCCTCACCAGCACTTTTTTGTTGACTCATTGATGACAGGAGTGAGGTGGTGCCTCGTTGTGGTTTTAATTCTCATTTTTCTAATGATTAGTGACGTTTGTCTTTTGATTAATTTCGTTTGTCTTTTGACCATCTCTATGTCCTCTTTATTTTTTCAAGCAGGTTTTTGATTTTTTGCAGTCTGTTTTCTCCTCCAGCACCCCCATGATGTGAATGTTGGTATGCTTGAAGTTGTCCCGGAGGCTCATCACACTGCCCTCATTTAAAATCTTTTTTCCTTTTTGCTATTCTGATTGGGTGTTTTCTGCTTCCTTATATTCCAAATCCCTCATTTGATTCTAGGCTTTGTCTACTCTATTATTGATTCCCTGTAATGTATTCTTCATTTCACTTAATGTATTCTTGATTTCTGACTGTTCTTTTTCATTTTCTATCACCATTTTATATTTTCTGTCTCTTTGTTGAAGTTCTCACTAAGTTTACCTACTCTTCCCCAAAGTTCCTTGAGCATCCTTATAACCAGTGGTTTGAACTCTGCGTTGAGTAGATTGCTCGTCTCCATTTGTTTAGATCTTTTTTTTGGAGTTTTGTTCTATTCTTTCATTTGGGAGCTGTTTCTTTGTCTCCTCATTTTAACTGCCTCCCTGTGTTTATTGCTCTGTATTAGGTAGAGCTGCTACATCTCTTGGGCTTGGTAGAGTGGCCATATATAGTATGTGTCTTGTAGGGTCCAGTGGCACAGCCCCCGTATTTTCCAATCTGGACACTCTAGGTGTGCCTCCCTTGTGGGCTGTGTCCACTTTCCTCTTGTATTTGGGCCTTGATCATTATTGGCATGTTAAAGGGAGGGATTTATCTCCTGGCTAATCAATTTCGATGAGTGACGGTGACCACTGACCACAGTGGAGGGTCAGCTGTGAGGGGTGCCCTGCACAGAGCCAGACTTACTTCAGTGGGGCTCTGGTACCCACTGAGTTTGCCCCTTGAGTGTGTTGCTTGGAGGTGGTGAGGGGGTGGTATCTTAGGGTGGTCTGAAGCTGTCCACTGGGGGCTCTAGTTTTAGGGTCTCCCAGGAGGTACAGACCAAGGTCAGCCGCAGCCTGTGTTCTGCCTGTGGCCACCCGGCCGGCATGAGCTACAAAGTGACCTGCAGACGGCTGCTACTTGTGCCGCTCTTTGACGTGCCCAGGAGAGTCCAAACTGGAAAACAAAGCCAGCTGCCACCAATGCCGCACTTAGTGAGAGTCATGGGGCACACCGAGGTCAGATGCTGTGCCCTTGAGAGAGTTTAGAAAAGTCCAAAGCATGAGACAAGACATGCCACTCGTCTGGAAAAGCACTGGAAACATCCCAGGCAGGCCTTCAGCTGGGTGGGGCGGGCCTCAGGGAACCCCCAAGGTGGGAGGAACAGTCTTAGCCAGGCTGATGGACACTCAGATATGGCGACTGCCTGCCCATTCTCTCAGGGGAGAGGTTGTTAAAGGAACAGTGGGGCCTGCCAGTCCTTCTGTCCTGGAGAAAGCTGCCCCTCCAGCCCTTGCTGGACAATGCAGTGCCTTCCCGTGTGTCCCTGGCACATTTCAAGCTGAAGTGAGCCTGAGAGATATTATGCGTGGGCCCTTTAAGGGGAATGCCTGGAAGTCTAGAACCTTCCATTTCACTCAGCAACAGTCCCTACTGGTTTTTATAGTCAAAACTTTTGGGCACGTCTCTTCCTGGCACTGGAGCCCTGGGCTGGGGGCCTAGTGTGGGCCTGGGACCCCTCACTCCTCAGGGGGGACCTTTGCTGCTGAAATAGCTCTCCTAGTTTTTATCCACTACATGAGGATCAACTCATTCCGAGTCTTTGCCCTCTTACCAGTCCCGATGTGGCTTCTTCTCTGTATTGTTAGTTACAGGGCTTCTGTCCAGCTACATTTCAGGAGGTTCTGAATGGTGGTGGTTCTGTAGCTGGTAGTAATTTTGATGTGGTTGTTGGAGGAGGCGATCACAGCTTTTATCTACTCTGCCTTCTTGACCAAAATCGAGAAGAGCTTTGTCCTCACTACGCCGCCTAGGAGTCCATTAGCTGGTGTGGCCGCAGTGCCCTGGGCCCAGGTGCCTCAGGACCGCTGATGCAGCCCAGCCCAGGTGTGGCGTGGACTTCACAGCCCATCCAGCCACCAGGCAGCCACAGCGCAGGACAGTGGCCTTGCTGCATCTGCTCTTTCTCCAGGAGTGGTGAGGAGGTCAGGTACCTGGGGTCCAGTGGGGTCCAGGCCGTGGTGACTCCGGTCGGCTTCTTCCCCTCCTCATTCCTGCGCGTTTCTTTCTGAGAGAAGTGTAGCTGGGTTTCTCCGCCACATGTCACCCTTGACCAGTCCC